ACAGCATAATAAACAGTGTCACAACTGCGCAATAGTAGTGACACTCACTAGGCTTTCATCCACAGGCTCAAAAGTTAGAACCACCTTGTACTGTACAGCATAATAAACAGTGTCACAACTGTGCAATAGTAGTGACACTCACTAGGCTTTCATCCACAGGAGACTTGTCAGATCGAGCAGTCCGGGTTTGAGTGTTGGCCAGCGACATTGAATGTGTTCTTAGGTACCCAGGAGTGTAAATGGATTCTGGCGAATTGTTAGGGCAACCTGATGTAAAATGTTGGGAGTGAGGGAGGGGAGGGTAGCCTGCAATTTCTAAGCATTTTACAAATATGTTTCTATCCGCACTTATCTTCTTTGCGTTTTCTCTGACATCCAGACGCGGGCGCTGAGGAAACCACGCCTCAAGAAGACACGACATCTGAGAATGATCACGACGAGAGAGAAAACTGATCCAATGGACGAAGAGGAAGAGGATGAAGATGAACAGAATGAAGATGAACAAAGCGAGTCCAAGGAGGAGGACAGAGAAGAGATTGTCCACGAGGCAGAACCAGACCATCCGGTATTGAAAGAATTAAACGGACGGCTAGAAGCGGTCGAGCAGAGTGGAAGCTTGGATCAAATGAGAAATCTGCATCGCGAGTTGCACGCGCATCACGTCCATGTCGGAGACAAGAGGCTGTCAAGCGAATAACGAATCTGATTTAGAATGTGAACCCAATTAGCAGCTGTCTGTGAATATATTTTAACATGCAATCATGAGCTATAGGAGATGTGGGTTTCGACTAAATTAAATAGCAAATTGCTTACAAAGAAGTAGTCCTTGAATACCCAATGTATAGTCGGCTGAGATGGCAATTGAACACAAAGGATACTTCTTTGTACTGAGCGAGTAATCTGCTTTTATTTAGTGGAAACCCACGTCTCCTATAGCTCATGATGCAATCAGCAAAAAAAAAAAACTTTAGAGAAGCCATACTTTTAAAACCATTGATAACAGATGAAAAAACTTCGGGTCATACCGTAAAACACTCCCCCAGTTATAAGCTTATAACCAGGGAACCAGGGAAAGGCTTATAACCGAGAGAAGCACAAAAATATCTTCCGCTTACAAGTCCAATTTTCCCCGGCCTCAGATATAACCCCCTCCCCCCTTCTCCAACAACTTAGATTAAAACAAAAATATATAAATTCGAAACAGTTGCATTGTTCAGGACTAATAACCGGGATTTTACGGCAATACCACGCTATTTTTGGTGATAAATGTATGCCTATGTTATATTTAACTGAATTATGAGCTTCAGACTTGTAGGAATAACAAAGAAATATTCACATAAAGTAATCTTAGCAATATTAAAATGTTCGGAGACAGGTTTAGTGAGGTCTTTGTCATTGTTTTATGCGCGGTTGCATGTTTATGCTTTGAGTTCTGATTGGTTCTTCCCACGCATTTGTTGTGTTTGGCTCAAGATGTAACATGCTTTGGTTTCGGTTTATACGGCAGTACTGTGTAAACGTAGCTAACAGCTGTGAGTTTGAGCGGTTTTTTAATTGGTGTCGTAAAAAAAAAAAAAAAAAAAGCAATTACAATGGCCAATCACAAGAAACGTAAACAACAAAACGAACCAATGAGAACTCGAAGTAAATTACACGTGACCGGCGCCAAGCGCGGGAAAACGCGTGTGACCAAGTCGTGATTGACATCAGCGAATAAATGAATTAAGTCTTGGCAACGCCAACCTTGTTTATCATGAAACCGCTGACAAGCATGCCTGAGCCGACACCTAGTCCCCAGTGACATCCACCTAATACACCTACAGTCAAACATGGAGTTAAAAACTAATTTCTCCTTACAATAACATTACGATACACAGCAAACATGTGAAGAGATTAAGGAAAATGATCAACTAGGAGATCATACCATTAAATTCTCAGGACTAACATTACAATGAGTGTATGGCAATAAGTTTTGAGAATTGAGATTTTGAGTCCCGGGCGGGGTACGAAGGCCTCTTTGGGGGCTTCCGATGTTTCATCGCTGATTCAGTCAAAAAATCAAATGAAATTTCTTCAGAGAGGCAACAATATGTATGACAGCCGAGCCGAAAGCTACGTGAGATTTTTAGCGAAAGGGTTGTGTTTCTGTAGTTACCAGAGTAGGACATGCAGGTCGCTAACTCCGTAAAAGCTCTATTAGCCTTCTGGGACTTACTTCTTTTCAAGAAGGTTTATAATCCTTAGTCTTTTTGATTTGGGACTTGGTTATCAGTCTATTGGTTTAGTTAGACCAAAATTATAGTTCAACACTAAATTTGAATTGATCACTGAATTGATCACGTGACGCGATAGTTCGTCCGACACGTTTGTCTTTTCGCGGTTCGATTATTTAACGTAAAAAGAACCCTATCGTATGTTTTTTTTATAGTAATTAGTCTGTTATACATCTCGTAAACTAAATAAATAAATTTCATTTGTTGACTGAAATTTATAAAAACCAGCGAAGCGAAAAAAGTTGAAAAATTTGAATATGTAAATGAACAATTCGAAACTGATTAAATATTGTAGGTGTTCAAAACGGAATATTTATTAGATTAAGCTAGAGGCCGGGACACGCAACCACTGACAACAGTCAGACTAGAGCGGTAATATCAATCCTTTAGCTGCAACATGGACGACAACGATGTCCACCGTAAAACGGAAAAACATGAGTCAACGGCGAGTTCTTCGGATTCTTCAGCAACGTGTCACTCGTCTAAATTCACTTTCAAAGCTTATTTCTTCCTTTTCTTCTCCGCCATTGGAAGTTCCGTACCTTATATTCCATTGTACTTCAAGCAACTTGGATTGACTGCAGGACATGCGGGAACGTTAATTGGATTGAGGCTGTTCACAGAATTTTTCGGCGCGCCATTGTGGGGAATGGTCGGCGACAAGTTTAGAGTAAGAAAGGTCATTTTATTTGCTTCACTGGTGTCATTTACAGCCGGGACTCTGTTGCTCATGGCTGTCCAACCACAAAATCAAAAGTGCATCGAGACTACAGCAAACAAAACCGAGGTCACATCCTTGATTTTCACCTCTGGAGGAATAACGTTAGGTTATTCTCATAACAAATGCAGCGAATAGCGAGAGAATGGACGTTCTAACGGACATACAAGTTGAGATACGGGTGACCAGTTTAACAACAACAGTACGCCACAGGTTTTTCTCCGTAAAGTCGACGAATCCGAGATTACGAGAATTTTTATTATTTTTCTGGTTATAATCGTTGCCTGTCAAATCGTCGGTTCGGTCGTTTACACTATGCCGGATGCACTTGTCGTGGGCTTTCTCAAAGAAAACATCAAAGCGTTCGGCTCTTTCCGAATGTGGGGCGAAGTGGGTGTCGCCGTCGGTTCGTTCATTGTCGGAGGCGTCATCAATTTTTACCAATCTGAGGTCTGCGGCGAGGTGGTGAAGAACTATTACATTTCATTTTATTTCTTTGCCGGGTTCATTGCTCTATCGATGTTCACTGCTATCTTCATGGAAGTTACATACCCAGACCGGGAGATATCAGCAGATGTTAACTTGTTGCCATTAGTCAAAGAACTTCTGAAATTTCATAACGCAGGTGTATATTCTTGTGGCCTGTTTCTTGGGTATGCTCGTAGGTTTACACGAGAGCTTTGGTTTGTGGTATTTGGAAGAACTCGGGGCCGAACCCTACATGTTAGGCATTGCATCTGGTTTGCGCTACACTATAGCTTTAGTCGGATACGTTATATCAGGGAGTGTTGTTAACAAGTTTGGACAAGCGTGCACCATAGCTGCGTGTTTGTTGCTGTACGTAGCCGTGTACATGAGTCTGTCATTTGTTCTGAACCCCTGGCTGGGTGTGGCTCTGTTTCGCTTTCCAGGGACTGTTTATATGGGACCAGCTGGTCAGCCTGTGTATTGTTTGGTGGTACTGTGTCCTTACGGGTTGGCTTCTATGCTGCTATCCAAGGTAAGTCAAATTATCCTTTAGCAGTTTTGACGCCTGTTTGATTGCCATGGATTTCTTTTCATTTTAGTCTGAGAATTCAGGCGGGGAAACAAGTGCTGGTTTTGGCAAATCTTCGTGGAAGCACTCGAAGAGTTTCCGAATCTTTTAATCCAATCAGAAAGGAGCGCGAGCACTCACGAGTACTCCGTAAGCAATCGCACCAACAAATACGTCATGTTGCTTAGCAACTTCGTGGACGAACACCATCGAATCGAAGTGTTGCTTAGCAACGTCCCCGTCGACTAAAACCGCGGGCTCAGTTACTTTCAATCCTAAAATATAGTACGTTAACGTTTTAATGATTTTCTCGGCATAACTGCCCGACGTTTCTAACTTCAGGTTTGTTTTGACTGTAGGTGTAATAGGTGGATGTCACTGGGGACTAGGTGTCGGCTCAGGCATACTTGTCAGCGGTTTCATGATAAACAGTGTTGGCGTTGCCAAGACTTACCTCATTTATTCGCTGATGTCACTTGTTGCTTGCGTCCTGTTTTCGTTAAGTAATTTTTTGGTGAAGTTTAGAGAAGGCAAAGGTAACAGTGATGAAAAGTTATAAACTAGTACCAACAGAGGACACCCAGTAATAACATTGGAGAATTTCTTTGCTGATCAACTTGAAGCGTGCGTGTAGAAATTTCCGACGCAGAAAGGAAATGACGATTGTTACATTATTTTGAGTAACTTTAACCAGTCTCGTTCCCAGAGTCCTCGTTACCCTTGTCCAGCGGTGGAGCGGCCAACAAGGACCTCTGGGATAAAGCGATCCGCCATGACAGGATTCTAGGACTTCCGGCTCTACTGCGCATGTGTTCGACCCCATGTTTCAACTAACGGACGCCAAGATTCTTGGACTTCCGGTCTTACTGCGCAAGTCAGGCAGATCACTCTATCCCAGAGGTCCTTGTTGGCCGCTCCACCGCTGGACAAGGGTAACGAGGACTCTGGGAACGAGATTGAGCTTTGAGTGGAAGACGCGGTGGCCTAATGGTTAACGCGTTGGACTCCAGATCGAGCGGTCCTGGTTCGAGCCCTGGCCTGGGTCATTGTGTTGTGTTCTTGGGCAAGCCCGTTTTCACGGCGAAATAAAGGCTTTTGTGCTTGGGCCTTCTTTTAAGAATAAATAAGTTAATTTAGTTATTTAGTATCTTATTTAGTTGCATAGTAAATGATTTGAACCCAAGAGTATCAGTGTTAGTGTGATCGCAACGAGGTTGGTGTGATCGTTCGTCTAGTAGTTCGTCTAGGGTGAGTGTAGTCCTGAAAAGGACTGTTGTTGGTGACTGAAGTCTCGACAACCTGGCACATTGTATTTTATAATATGACCTTTCTGTAAATCACCAGTACGGTGACGTTGGTTTTCCTAATAAAATATAAAAAAAATACGTGTCCCAATTCCTTTTTTTTTAAATAGGACTACGAGCCCGAATTTTCAAGTTCAATAACTGTCAGTTTATTTCAGTTATTTGCCGTTCTTCGTAAAAAGTTCACATTTTTGTTCATGATATATAACTTAGAAATGTAAAGTTATACAGACCATTTCAACGAGACACTGAGGCTCATGCATATGGTCGGTTCCTTTTGCACTCTGCTAAATTTTTATGTCAAGAAAGTTGTTAACATATACCGTTAGCTACCACGCATGTAAATTCTACAAAATTGCCCAAGGGCACACGGGTACTGATCCACTAAAAATTCAAATTAAACAACGCAAAAACTACACAATGCATTTTCTCTCTGCCGTCCAGACTATTCAATACAGTATGTTTTACATTTTGGATAGTCAAAAAGCACTCTGTATATAATTTTTTTTCATATCTATCATAACTACATGCACTGAAATGGCAATCGAAAGTGCAGCCTGCTCTCCGCTCGGCGAATAAACTGTGCCGGGAGAGGCAAGGCAAGGCAAGGCCCCCCCTCCAATCAGTTTAGCTTGCACTGAAGCAGGCTCTCTGCTTGAAGAATAAACAGAACCTCCCTCCGCTCCAAAGCTTAGTTTCCGCTCAGGGCTTAAACAGAGGGTGTGGTCGGACAAGAGAGGTCCCTCCCCCTCCGCCTTTTTATTCCTCGGGTAAATAGCCTACTAGCTGCTCGCCGGCATCAAAACTTCACTGATAACTGAACAGTTTCGACCGTTCAATATTTAGAACTTAGATTTCAATCGTCACAGATTCTCCAGAACTAATACTTTCCATAATTTCTTTAGACACTAAACTGTCCAGTTCGCGATTTTTCTTTCCACAACATAGCATTTCGATTTTCCCAAGCAAGAACAACCCGTACTGCCATTTCTGTTCTCTCTACACTGATGCACGCCGGGAATCAGTGACGAGTTTGGGCGACCAAACGACAATTCAAGATCGCTACCATGACGACCATTCCGAGTACTGTATTGTCCGCTGGCCTGTTGTGTGTGCTGTCTTCATCCGCGCCATTTTTGAGTCCGATTTCACAAACTCTTTTCCTATTACCGTCAGTCATCGCGTCTATAAGGTCCAAAATGTTCTGGAAATGATTTCCGGTTTCACGCCATCCTGTGCCTTTATTTGTTGAGGGACGCCTCGTGTCGCTTTAGAATAGCCACGTAATTTGGAATTTTTCTCAAACATTTCCAGCTCCTCCGGGTTGAAGTCGAGCGGCTTGACGTAGGACGTGGGACCGAATAGAATGTGAAAAGCGTTTTCGTGGTCAGCGTCCTCATCCACAAAGCTGTCTGATAACCAGAAACTGTGATTTGCACTCAGGGCTGAAATAAACCGATAGAGACGTTTATAATTTTGTGTGTCGTAAAACCAAAACCAAAACCAAAGCAATTACAATGACCAATCACAACAAACGTAAACAACACAATGAACCAATGAGAACTATAGAAGTAAATACACGTGACCGTCACCAAGCGCGGGAAAACGCGTGTGACCAAGTCACGAGTGGTTTTGGTTTTGCGTCTGATTGGTTGAGAAGGTGGCGCGAGATTTTAAACCAATCATAGAGCGTAGGTAGTAAAGTAAAACCTGTTGAAAACAATTTTCGAGGGGACAGGGGGCTCGAACTTCCCGCTTCCTGTACCTTATAGTTTTTTATTTGTAAAATATTATGCGCGGTTTGGTGAATTTCTTCCCTATTTCTCCCGCTTCCCGCAACCTTGGAATCCCGCGTCCCGTCCCTTTACTCACGGGTGCCCGTCCCGTGCCCGTCCCGGTTCCTTCTATAATACTTACAGTTTAGAGTGTGCGACCTTGCACGAGAAGATTTTTTCCGGTTACAACATTTCGCCCCAGGCCACTTAAAGGCCCGGATGTAAGCTCGTCTGTATGGAGGCCACAAGATCCCGTATAACAGCGGATTCAGGAAACCGCTGATCATTGGCAACTGGATCGCACACAGACCGAAAAGTGGCGGATAATCGACTAAGAAAATACCCAGGCTTATCGCCACCTGGGGAACAAGAAAAGAAGGGAAAAAACATTTACAATCGGTGTAGAAATTGTGTTAGGGAGGCGCAGTGGCCTAATGGTTAGCGCGTTGGACTCCGGACCGAGCGGTCCTGGGTCATTGTGCAACCTCGTTCCCATTGGGTACCGGCGAACTGTTAGAGCAACAGTGACAAAATGCTGGGGGGGGGGGGGGGTAACCTGCGATGGACTAGCATCCCATGAGGGGGAGTAGCAATGCTCCTGAGTCTCTTCTCGTCGCTTCATTGCACGAAAAACCAGGAGAAGCTCCGTAGTGTGGGCCACTAGGCTCATAAAGAGTTAAATTTTCCTAGAAATTATATGTTGTAGACGAAACTCCTCATTAATATTCTAGAATGTCTTCAAGTTTTTAAATATTTAAAATACTATTTTTTGTTTATAATTAGCAGTTCTACAATGAACTTTTTACCGTTTTTTAAACCGATAATTTTACTTGAAATCAATGTTTCCTGTATGCTTAAAATGCATTGAAATATGTTTACAGAACCGTTTTTTCGGCACTTCAAGATCTGTTTTTACTCGTGTATTGCTAATATATTTTTAATAGCCGGAGACAATTATTTAATTTATTATTTACTCCAAAAAGCGGCTATTATTTGATGAGGTGATTTATATGCGAGGAAATACAATAATTATTATTTGATTAGGCATTCAAATAAAGTCTTGTTTTACGTCTGGATCGCAACAAAACAGTCATTCCGGAACTTTGTTTGTGTTTTTTTTTATAAAAAAATAACTCAGTGAAAATGCCATGCAAGCACTCTCTACATTTTTCTACTGAACGCATATTTGAATTTAAAAAGCAAAACATATACAGGAGCATTTAAAAATTAAAAAAGAAATCGGCAAAAATGCTACATGGGTTCACTTACCACCCAAGGGAGAATACAGCCAAAATATATCAGAACCACCAAAGCCACCATACGGGAGAGATCTTTAGTACTGGTGTGAACATCTCTGCTAACAATTTGCTGCTTCGAAGAAGTGCGGACAAGACTTACATCTGTAGCCAACTTTGTGCTGAAAGATTTCTTGCTAGACATACTAAATATTGTATAAAAACTAAAACAACAGACCACCAACAAACACACGAGAAACAAACGAAAAACTTCGCAAAGGAATTGGTGTAAGGGAATAAGCAAAACGTTCCTTGAGTGTCGCTGGAGATGTGAAAACCCTCAAGCCATAGGAGAGGCCATGTGGCTATAAACGTCGCGCAGAGCCAAACGCCAAAGAAAAATACGATGAATAGCTTTCCAGTTTCCAACGTTTATGGTAAAATGCGGCAAGGCTGTAACGAAAACCCTGTCCAATCCCAGGAGAGTGATTATTAATGTCGCTGCAATGCGAAGGAACACAATTGTCCAAGCTTGAACACGACATAAGGTAAAAAGGTCGTGAAAATCCTTGCTCTTGTCAAAGAATACGTACAGAGCAATCCCGTTTGGTCCAAGTGCATTCAAGACTTCTGTTAACGAGAGAGCGACGATGAGTAAACTCAACGTGTTTTTTCTTCTGGTGAATTGTAAGATGCTTATAATTGTTAACAAGTTTCCCACGAGGATGAAGATTGAAAACACAAACAAGATCACTACGACCGAGATGTGAATCTCTGACGTTTCACTGTTTCCATTTGTGCTTTCAGTTTCCATGTTGTCTCTTGGTGAAGCTTCTATCACGTTGCAATTTAATTTAGTTCTTCTGTAGAAATATCTTATTTAGGCGATCAGACAAAACAAGTGTTATGAGCCGTGAGAACAAATGTGTTATGACCACAAATTTGAAAACAAACCCTCAGTTTTTACGTTTTCAAGCAGTTTTCGATGTCGCTAATTACTGTAAATACTCGAAGGTGTTCCTTGTAGAAATGTCATCTTCACGCTCGACGATCGTAGCACAAGTAGACAAGCTATCTGCAATGGAAAACAAGATCTGGAAAACTCGGCTCATAATTGAAACCAATTTGTTGTTTTCGTTTATAAAAATAACCTGCGGTTGAATGCACGGAGTGTTTCTGATTGGCTTAAATATACTTTCATTGTATAAAGTAAAATAGAACTAAGTTCTATTGATAATTTATTAAGTACAACGCGAGCCGACTCGAATTGTTGTTATGGCACATTCATCAAATCATTGTATAATTGTCTCCAGAATAATTGATTTTATTGTCCACAGTAAAATTTCTCTTGGGATGGGATTAAAAAAGTGTTCGTATGAGAAAAATGCAGTGATCCATTTTAACTAAACATTGATAAGTAAACAGTATGACGTATTTTGGACCGTGCCTTGAACATTCTACAATGAAACATATATCATTCGATCATGTCTTGTGTTATTCTTTACGCTCATAAAAACATTTATTCATTTGTAGATCTCGCCTCTCTGCGGTTTTTATTAAAAAGTAGACAATTTATGTAGCGAATAATGGTTTAAAATTATGAATGATGACTGTTGAAAAGTAATAAAATCAAGCAATTATTGCGGCGCCGGAAAGTAACAAAATTAAGAAATTGAGACTGTATTGGAAAGTAATGGAATTGTAAGGCTTACAGTGCCGACTACTCCAACCA